TGTATTTACACTCTCTCTGTATATATATAAAAAATTATATAAATAAAAACAAAGAAAACCTTCCACTAACACATACAATGTCTATAATTTCATGGTTTTTAAGTTTCTTTGGCTGAGGTCTTATCACTTATCAGAATAGCTGTTTCTTAATCTAAAAGAGATGAAGGATTAAGATAGGTTACTAATACCCGATTAAACTAGCTTAACTATTTTGCAAATGAACACGAAAAAGGTTCAGAAAGTAAACGTACAATCCACATTTAATAGACTTAGAGCAAATAATTTCTGAGAAATATCACATTGGAAATTGAAGCAAAAAATCATAAGAGATAAGCTGAAAACCAGCTGTCTGCATGATTCCTTCCATGCTAAGTATGTTAACAGATACATAAAGTTTTTAGTATTTTTTAAATCCTGTAACATTACATAAAATTTTGAAAGACATATATGATTAATATGATAGAAATGTTGAAACATCTTACAAAATACCATCAAAAAATATCTTGCGGGGCGGGGAAGGTGGTGGGAAACATTACTTGGATATTATTTTAGCTGAATGGAAACATCAGTGATGTGCTGAGAGTACACAGAGAAATTATGACCCATGCTAGATAAAAACCTGTTACAATAATGTAGCTCAAATACTAATGGCTGAATCCTGCACTGTTAAAGGTAATAAAAGTCATTGATTTAAATGGGAACAGGATCAAGTTATAACATAAAACCACATGCCTCCACCAGAGTTGGCAAAGATGCCAAGTTCCAAAGAATTTGCCTCTTTTCACATACCATTTTGCCAGCTTCTCTCTCCAACCATGCTCATCCTCAATCCTGATAAAAGGATACAATCTCATTACAGTACTTGACAAATAACTGTTCTAATATAGTATGAAAACAAGAATGTTAATTTCTTACTTCACAAATAGATTGTTAGATAAGAAATATTTTAAAGATTTATAACTCTGTTAAAGCTTGTTGTAGGCTACCTCTATTTTCCTGACAGAAGTAGGTCATCTATATAAAGTTTTCTGAGGTTCTAGCATTGTTTCATTATTTTCTATTATTTTTTCCTCTCCTATCTAGTAGGATCAATTACAGCAGTTCTTATGGAAAAAAAAACCCCAAACAACAAACCAAAAACCACATTTCCCTGAGGGTAGACTAAGTAAACACAAACCATTTTCTCACCTCTGGGATAACAGTCCCAACTGAATGCCCTAGATTAAATTATTTTGCTGTTCTGAAATGTGCTGGTTTGGTGGTTCCCAGAGGGCAGATGCAACATGCATCAAAAAGTAAGAAACACAGTGGTATAACTGTCTTTCAGCTAAGAAAAACATGTCCTTCCCTTTCTCCCCTTCCCTCCATAATCCATGCTCCAGCATGCTTTTTTTTGATATTCAGCAAACTGAGTATCACTATCAAGGCAACCTATGAAAGCCGTCTTTTAACTTAACCTATGTATAAATACAGACTTCCACTCCCAATTGAGGGAGGGCAGCAAAGGCAACAGAATTTAATAAGAGTTCCAAGCAGGAAAAGCCACTTGACACTAAGAACTACTCTACCATTATAAACCTCCCAAAGTAGTTATTCTGTAGAATTTTTTCCAGAATAGTTATTTCAGTGTGAACTGCCTTGTGAACACTTTAATTCCAAAGGAAAAGTGCCTTTTTCTGACTTAGTGTGGTACAAATGTAGTATATCCAAACATTTAGAAAAGAGGAATCTCTGACCAGAAAAGACTCTTCGCATATGAGCTTACATACAATTAACTATTCAATAATAATTGTTTTGTAATGATACAAGTATAAATGTTGCTTGAATTGATTAATAATCCCAAATAATAGGCTATGACATGTCCACAAAATGAAAACAAAACCCCTATGTAACTTCGCAACTCTGACCCCCTACTTTGCTCTAGCCTGCTCACTTCACTATTGTCGTCTTACTGTTCGGCTGCCACCAGTCTATAACCACAGATCATCTAGAACAGTCTGATTCTGCAGAAAACTAGTAAGAGAGACTGCGGGCAAATAAATGCTTGCCTCCCATACCAACCTCTTGAAGAAAAATAATATGAAGTACTTTACAGTGAAGAGGTGAAGACATGAGCATGACAGCCACTGTGAAGAAAGTAATTTGGAGGACTAAATGATATTAACAAACACCACTTCTAAACACATTTTATAGGTGCTAAGGGAACAGCTGCTGCGCCTGCAAATCTGACCTTTAATACATTTTGAATCAAAAGAAAAATCTTCTGTGGGATTTATGAAATACAGAGATTTTTTTTTTAAATTAATTGCAACAAACATTTTAAAAGTTGCAAACAGGTCCCAAGATTTACTTTGTACATTTTCATCTTCCTCTGTTCTTCTGAATATACAATAGAACTGTGCACTGGAAATCTGTCCTGATAGATGTGCTGGCACATAAACATGTAAAGACACATCTTGTGGCAAAGAAAATTTAAGCAGAGGAATTACTGTCTTAATAGACTGAAGGGCTGTTCTCTTCCTTCTTGTAATATAGAAGCAGTTAATGTGTGTGTTCTTTTAGACAGCTACCCTTATGGTCACCTTAATCTCCATGTCTTAGATGTTAAATGGAGATAACTGAACTTCCCCATCTTTGTGAGCTGTTTTGAGATTGAAAGAAAAATACAGTTACAAACTTCCAGTACCCTACCAGTCACTTTTTTGTCAGTGAATCCTTTCACTGACTCCCATCTCACTATGTAACTCAAAGATACATTTGTTGTCATTTATTTCATAACTCAGCATTACTCTGATACTACTCCTTGTTTCCCACCAACACTCCATCCCACTAATATATCAGCTTTAGGTTGAACTTCTTATCCTTTCACATTATTTGTCTGCATGCCTGTTCCCTTACCTTATCTTTCATATGTTCCACATATTCACCCATTTTTCAGTTCTTGCTGAAAAATTATTTCTGCATTTCTTCTACTGGAATTTCTGGTGGACTTATGTTAACATGTATGTTGATTTTAAAACTCACAAGAGTATAATTTTCTTCTGCGTAGACCTGGCAAATCATCACCTCACTCATCCTTTGTCTATGATGTACAGCCTAAAGATCTATCTTCTGTTTCTGTATTTTTCACATGATTCTAAACTTTTAATATTTTCTGTCTGCAAACTATTTTACCTTTATGGAAGGCTATGTTTTAAACAAACAGCTCTTGCACAGAAGAGTGCTCAAAAGTCTGAATTTAAAAAGCAATTACATACAATCATGCAATTATGTTATAAAAGTTTCCATTCTGTACGATTTTTTTCTAAAGCTCTGATTCCTCCCTTTGGAAACTAGCATGTCAGACTTACCAACTGTAAGAAGAAAGTACAGAAAATATCACATCAATAACAGTTTCTTTCCTGCCTTAAATTCCTTAGAATAAGCTGAAAATACCAGGTAGCATTAATACTAACTTACCATGCTTTCTCAAGACTAGAAAATGGAATTTTTTTTTTTTTTTTCTTTTAGAATTAGAATCCACATAGTAATCTTTTGGGTCAGCTCTGATGTATGAATCTGTGTCTATTTCATGGTCATGTTATTGTATGGAATTTCCTATAATCTCTCTTAAACTTCTGACAATTCAAAAAAAGTGGAAGTAGAAGACTGAAGAGTTTGTGGTTTTTTAAATCTGGATTAAATAATTCTTATTCTATTATATATTTCAGCAGTTGGAATAAGTTAGACTGAAAAAAATTTCTCTGACATGACAATGTTATCCAGTGAATCATAATGGGGTTTCTATATGCATAAGTGTAAGATACTCTCCCTTACTTTAGAACCTTTCTCATCACAATTCTGACGCAGTCTATAATTCAACTGCAGTAATACGGTTAAAACATAAAGCTGTAATTAATAATCTCAGGCATCTCTTCATAGGAAATAATCAAGTATATTGAAAAAAAAGTAGTATAATTAAGATAATATCTAACAACAATTAACATAATATAAGGCTACTAACCCACAGCATGAACTGTTCCTCTATGCTTCTTTGAAATCTTGTTTGCCTTAACTATATGTAGGGCATTTTCTTTGAACTGCAGCTCACAAAGTCTTCCAAGAAGAACTGTCATTTCTTCAGTGATGGTATCCAGATAAGTTTCATTAATAAACTTCAATGATGAAGAAGGATCAATAGTTCCACTTAGTGTATACAAATCCTCTTTTATCATTGTGCACAATGTGGGTACAGAACTTTGGTAACCATGAACCACCTTATCAAAATTTGTTTCACCACAACTAGATAAAATACAGTTCTGTAGAAGACCACTAACCAGTTTATTCTGCATATTTTGATACTTCGTTAAGACTTCTGATTCAGGATAAAGAAACAAAAGTTGCTGTATGCACTGAGTTTTAAATTCCATTTGTTGTTTTAAAGCATTAGTATGTGTTTCTTCTTGACTTTGCAGCCTATTTATTAAAAATCGTCGAAGATGCAATCTCACATCATCCCAGAGAGATTTCACATCCATAGTTGAATCATCCTCAATGGCATGAAGGGAAGATGTTAACTCAAAAGAAGTCCCACTTGGAGTACAGGGAAATGAGACACCACACTGACTAGAAAGATCCAGAAGGAAGTGAAGTATCATTTCTTCTTGATTTTGCTCATTCTTCAGGAGGCTTTGCTAACAAAGGTAAATCAGACAGCATTTTAGAAATGTTTTATTGATTCTCATTCATAAAATGAACAGGTTCATGCTAGAGTACCAGTTGTTTCCAATGCTAATTTTCTTACCAGGAATAAGAGACTCAAACAAATTGCTATATAAACAACAGACATAACATATATAAAAAAGCCTGTTTTCCCACGGATTTATGTGCCAATCCATCTCTTTGTCTACCTGCTCCAATAACTGACATTCCTCTTCCCAGCTTTCTTACATCCTCAACCTCTTTTCTCAATCAATTCTAACCCACAATTCAAGGGAAAGCTTTAGAAAGCTCATTAGGTAAGCCTTGGCAGCCTGTTTGTTGTGGTCCACACAAACATCTTGGAAAGAAAATGCTACGAAAAATTACTCAAGATTTACACAAATAATGACAGGTTTTGCTCACAAACCCAAGACAGGAATTTATAAAATGAAACATCATTGCTTTCTATGTTCTGGCTCAGCAGGCAACCATGAAAAAGGTTATGCAAAGGATAAAGTAATCTTCCCAGGACTACTTAAAGAACTAAAATTGAAAACTTGTTAAGAATTGAACAGGCTTAGAGCACACAGTGCAGAAGAATAAGAAGCTGTGTATCCTGTCAAACCAAGATGCAGACTCATACATTAACAATATAGTGACCTCCAAATACATCTCAGCTATACAGACTGGAGAAGAAGAAGGAAGCCAGCTAACAAAGCAGGTGAAACCACATGGACGTGTGTGCTGTTCCTACTTCATCTGAGCCTGAAGAGCTCCCTCTTGGTCCAGGGCCAGGATCTCTGACCTTAGAGCTGCTTCAGGTTCAAGAGGCCATGCAGCAAATAGCAGGTCCTCTTGTGACAGCTCAGTGCTTTCTCTTTGGCCCAGAATGATACAAATTTAACCAGCACTCTGCAGCTTTCCTTAATACGTATGAGGTGAATCATTTGCGTGAATAAGGTGTGTCCAATACATGAGTAGACGACAACCCCAAAGTCCCATGGTCACTGGACACCAAAATCTCCTTCCTCTCTCAGAGAAAAAAACTTGCCTGTTATAAACCCATTTCTCACACCCTCAACATTTTTCCTCCTGCAGGTTGGCTTGGGCCACAGTCCTAGGCCCATCAGCTTTTTATTTGTAAAGACCTGCTCTCAATCCTCCAGCTGCACTAGAGCTGACTACAGATTTCCACATCACAGTAACAAGAAAACTGAGTGACATTGGTGGTACTCTTGATTTTCTAGGTTTCAGGAACAAAGCAAGCAAGCCCTAGGTCAGTCAGGATCGAGAGGTCCTCTCACTTACTCCCCCACCTCCTATCGCTTCTCCCCAAGAGGGAAAAGTGTTGTGGCAAATTGGATAGGGCAGTTCTTCCCACTTATGTTCTTTATCTGGATCTCCCAGCTATACTCCATCCTATAAAGCATGGCTGGTAAAGAAACTGTTGGCAACCTTCGATCTTCAGAACTATAGATTTATTTAACCTACAGAATTTGAGGAAATGATTAGATTTATTTCTTTTCCCATTTTGAAAGAGAGAGAAATAAATAAAATTTGAGTATCGTATGGTGTAAGTATAATAATTTCCAAATACAAAATGTTCAATTTTTCTACTGTAGCAAAAGCTTTTATCAATAGACAATTTATAAAAATATAAAAAAGACAAAATTTAGAACAAAAACTTCAGTGGGCTTTTTTTTCCCCCCCTCATGCTTTTGAGTCACATAAATTTTCAGTATCAGAACTCCTATTCTTTGTTCTGGATGATTGAAAACTGTTGCACTCTTATGGGAGAAAACAAGAGTTTAACCTTATTTCCTATTGCCCTCTACTCTGGAGTGCTCCATGATGAAAACTGAAAAATAAAAGACTTGCACCACAGTACCTAATTCTGAACAAAAGACAGAGAGCATGATTGCCTCCCATAACGCAAAGTCTTAAAAATAATAGACGAGCTATTTTTCTTCTATTTTACATCTTTATTCCAGAATGCTTCCTATGAATTTTTTTACAGGAAACACACGTGGAAGACAGAATAATAAAGGAAATAATCAGTCAAATATCATCCTATAAAAGCATGTGCATGTGATAGAAGTATGTATAACTAGTTAAAATCTTAAATCATACATATCAATATGCATATACACAAGGCTGATTTGATTTTCTTTTATTATCTACTGAAGTATTCTACAAAGTTTTGTGGCCCCAAAGAGAATGTTTCTCAGTGTGTAAACTGAAACCTTAATCGCTAACCATTATGTTGAAGAATCAAGTCTCCACAGGTTTTAAGTTTAAAAGTTAATTTTTTCATGAATCATGCTGAAAAACTATATTCTGAAATGAACAAAACAAGAGAAGCTGTCAAAACAGTGAATGTAATGGATGCCTTTGGATAATGAATCCAAAATGTCTTCCAAGCAAAGCCCTACTGCTGGTTTTAAGGTTAAGCAGAAACATTTTTATTCATGAAAGTGTTTCAAGCCCTTTGCAACTTAAACTAAAGCATTAAAAATAGGGAGCTTGCAGATGCCATCTTAGACTTACTGTTACTCAGGAAAAGAGCCCCTGAAGTGAACTTTGAAGCTCTGAAAACAGAGTGTCATCAAGCCTCTTTGAACATTGCCTATATTGACATACGCTTTGCTATTTAAAAATTAACCTGTAAAAATCCTTCAGAAGATGATGCCAAAACTGTTCAAGAGAAAAAGATCCAAATTAGTATCCAAAGGTTTTAGAAAAGCATGAAAAGTTCTCTTATGAGCACAGAAAGTTAGTGACAATAATATACAGGAAAACATTTGCGGTCTACCCACTGGACTACTACTTACTATAGACTACTACCTATCATATCAATAACCAAATCCAATGATGAAGATTTTGTTAAAAGAAGTTTTTGCATTAGTTTAGCAGGAACAGAATTTAATGAAGATGTGTTCATGTACATATTCAGCTTGTAAATATTTAGAATTACAAAACAGTACACAGAATGATGAAATGACACAAAATTAACATTTTCAGGCTTCATGAAGAACCTCTCAGTATTTCCATGAGAGTTCACAAATACATGAGAATACCAGGCTAACAATAAACCTAAATACAGCACCTCAGCCAAAGCACATCCAGAACTTTGCACTATTTTTTTAATTGCTCCAGTAGCTTAAAAGATAAACAAAATCCCTAACAAAATAAACATACATAATAAGGGATAACAATAAATAGGGATGTTGTCCTGAAGTAGAAGGAAGGTTACTATTATTGAAGATGTATGATATGATACTTAATTAAAAGTGTGCAAGTGAGAAATTAAGTCAAATGAGTAATTAGTTCAATGGATGGAGATACACATTTAAGAAAGGTCAGATCATAATAATCTCATTAATGCTGAATATTATTGAAAATAGTTTACTGCAGACCTGTTTATGGAGCTAAAGATTATCTACTGCGAGTATAACTTCTTACAGATGGATTGTCTATGCTAATACATATACACTTTTCATCTGCAGTCTCATCTACACAACAGGCTGGGTTATCTAAGAAGCCATGAGCCTGGAAACAGTGAAGTCCAAGTTCCTGAGCTCCACAGATGTTTTCCTGATAAGCTGTGCAGAATTGAGACTTTAAGGCTTCTCACACTTTGTTGTGTGTTTAGCAGCCTGCCACAGAGTCATTTTCAAGGCTTAGCTGGACTCTACAGCCCACACAGCCAGACTGTCATGCAGTCAGTAAGCTCCTGGGAAGCTGAAGAAGCACATTTTGTATAAAATATACCCGAAGTATTATTCCAGAGATGGGGACATTTTGGTGTTTCCCAAACAAATGCCGCCACCTGGTGTTCAGGTATATGGCCTGAATAGACCTTGGAGAAGGAAGAAAACAGGGAATGGACACAAGTTCTTCTAAGGGGGTTTAAGTAAGGATCTAACTGGAATAAAAGGAATAACAAAAGACTTCATAAATCAGCATTTTCTGGGATTCTCTCATTTTGACTAGATCAAGTATGACATGTAGCAGTGTCTGACACCCTTGAGTGGGGTGATTATTAACAGCAACATTCATACTGATCACCTGTTGTTAGAAGGGGACAAAATCACACAAACCATTAAACACCTTGTGTTTCTAGAGATGACTTCCTCATTTGACACAGCTTAATATCGAATGGATTCAAGGGTGACTGAAAGATCAACAACCAGTTTTAAGAGTTAAAAATCTGAGAGTTGATTTGATGAAGCTTGAGCTTTAGCCAGGAGATAGTCCCAAATGAGAAAACACTCCTCCACAGCAGTTTTCCTCTGCTGATACAGCCAATCTTAACCTTAAGGGCGTTCATGTCCTACAGTTAAACCATGACATGGAACTGACAAAGAACAATCCCCTGGATACTGCTTATTTGTTTTGACACTCATACATATGCACATCATATAAATACACATATACATACTTTATATATAAACTGGCAGGCTGTCATTTACTGAGGTATTATCCTTCACTTATCTAGCCAATTCAATTTTCCAGACTTCCATTTCCATGCATATATTCTAAGGTTAACTTTTAATAAAAATTTTGGATAAAAATGCCTTCTAAAATAATGGAATTTTTCATTGAAGTGAAATTTGGTTTCTGGTTACGTCTAGTTGTACAACTTGCTATGACAATGGATGTAGCTCCAACATTTCTAATTAGAAAAAAACAGATAGGAAGTTAATGCTTAAATAATGCATAAAGGAAAATAATCTGTATTAGATAGGTTAAATTAATACTAATACCAGTGAAGAACAAGTGGTAAGAGTAACAGCCTCGGTGTAGACAGTAACTTCAGATGTTTTTTAACAATGAGTTTATAAAACAATCCTAGCAGTGCTGAACATGTGGTAATATTGTGTAACGATTTTGTCCCAAATTTGTCTATTTAAGGCATGATCAAAAGGAAACAACCTGTTGCTGTGGACATAAAAACAGTACTAAACCTTATAATAAAATTTCTGAACTATCATCACCACAGTGAAGACTGAAAAAACTAATTAATCTCAAACAGACACCCCCCACCCATCACGTAACCAATTTTCCCAAACATTAAAGTCTTTAGTAAATAGTTTTTACCAGGGTCCTAAGGAATTCCATGAGCTCTCCGTGGTGTGTAGAAGAAGGTCTGAGAGAACTAAAACTGCAGTTGTTTAGCCACTGAAGGCAGTCATTTGTGCTTTGTAGTATTTCATCGGTACATATTTCATTTACTTCTGACTGCAGGTCTTTAAGACACTGTTCTATGCTAAAAAAACAAAAACAAAAATCACAGCATTTTTTTAATGACTTGGAGATAAAAGCATTTTATATATTCCATATTTCAAAAAGAAAAACTACTTCACATTAACGTAACACCAGTCCTTCCTCTTCAAAGACTAAATTACTGTCACAAAATAAGGCCTGAACTTGCAGGATTAACTTTTAAATGCAGTTGAGCTACAGCTAAAATAAATTTCCTTCAAGCCAGACTGTACCATCCTCAGTAAGTACTGCCTCACTTCTCAAACAATCTTGTACTTTTTAATAAAGTAGTTAGTGAATAAGACATCATCCAACCAAAGATCTGGTCCTTGGTGCTTTATTAGCTAAAGTAGAGAATATAAACTGAATCAACTACCATATTCAAAGGTGAATGTGTCATCTTGCTCCTTTAGCAATCAGCAGTTGTTTTATAACACATAACACATATTAACGACTTCTTAAAGACCCACTGGCATCACAGAAAATGCTGAAAAGAATTTTAGAGTCAGTTGTGCTGAGAATGCTGTGTCATTAGAATATTGGAAAGAAAACAGTTTGTTTTCAAGGAGCTGGTCCAATCCTTAACATTCATCTAGAATCATAATCCTGTTTATGAAATCAGATGTGGCTGGTATGGTTATTACAGGGATTTCAGTTGCAAAAATCACAAGAACAACTGAAAATCCAAAATTGTTTTGTTTCTATTTGTGTGGACACTTACATGAAAATAAAAAAAAGAAAAAATCCATAAACAATCTAACTCTGTATAATTTTCTACAAAAACACCTTTTCGGTATTTTTTTAAAATAAAAAAAATTAAAAAAAAGCTTTTTTTTAAAAGCAGTGTTTAATATTTTATATAGTTTCAGTTAGAAAAATAGTATTGACTAGATCTACGCAGATCGAGGTTTAATACAAACAGAGTCAACAATAAGACTGATGCCAGTTTTGGTTTACTGAAGTGCAAAGTGATTCTTACTACTATTTGAATTTTATTTTGGAGTATATTAGCTATTTCATTTACGTTCTTACAGCTGATGAGGGATGAGAAGAAGGTTACAAAAGAGGACAGGAAGAAGAGAAAAGGCGAATGAGAGGAGAGAGAAGAAAAGAAACTGGAAACCAAATCAAATCTTTAAGTGTATTACAAGCCATGACAGAAATACCAAACTAAGGATCTCAAGTTTTCAAAAAAAAAAAAAAAAAAGGAAAACTATTTTTTTTTAATTAGTAACCTTGAATAAAGTTTTAAATTTTTTTCTGCATAACTTCTCTGTGTGGATTCATTTTCCATGAAATGTCATCTTTTTGGAGGAAAATATTTTTATTAAAAATACAATCTGCTATGAACATGAAATAAAAAAAAAAAATCTTAAATACCGCTAACCCATATCAATTTGTAACAAGAAATCAGTGATGAAAGGCCATTGTGCATATCAGCCACTGACTATACTTTGTCATTTAATTCTGCCTGCAGTACTGTTTTCAGGATGTGGAAGAAGTATTTATTTGATTTTCTACTGGATTTTCTCCTTTACTGAGTGATTTGCACTTTATTCTTTTACAAATGTTATGCAGTGTACCCTAAATTCCTACTAGCTGTCTCATTCTGATCAACAGCAATAAAGTAAATCAGTGTCATCCATACCTTTGGGAACTGAGTCTGTTAGTTTGAATTGACATTTTAAAAAAACAGTGGAAAAAAAAATAAGCAAATGATCACACTAAATTAAGTTCAGAGAGAAATAATAGTCTGTGTTTTCCTTTTATTTTTAAGTTACCTACAAAAAGCACAAAAGAGAGAAGTATATTTTTTCTGAGAATGCCGTCAAGACTTATCATCTATGATAGGTTGTGCTTTGTGCCTTTTGTTTCTTTAAAGTACAGTACTAAATAATAACAAGCTGAATATGAAAACTGCATCAACTACAGTAACAGAATGCAAGGACGATCATAAGAATATAAGTGCAGAAGAAGTGTGGAATTTTGAATGTCAGAAAAAAAATACCTTAATTGTTCCCAAAACGATGACTATACAACTTCTAAAAAAAATTTCATTACAATAAGTAGGTCACTTTGAACAGCTTTTTTCCCCATATTTAATTGTATTCATTAATAATTATGGGTAGGTTTGTTTTAAGCTTAAAAGACATGAGGTAAACCATTCAAAGTGTATCTACTACATCAAAATGAAGTCACCACATTTTACAGCTGCTTTTACAACAGCTTCAGAAACCAAATTCAGTAACTACAACTAATGCTAAAGTATGTAAAAACTTCTAAAACTTATGAATACATCGGTGGCCTGTAAAACACATCTACAAAATTGACACAAAAGTCTTAAGACTTTCCTGAGTGTGACTGAGTTCAAAATGAAGTGCACCGAAACAAGTATCTTCCCATCATCAAAGGACCTTATCAGGAGGAGCACAAAGGATCTCCATGAAAAACAATCCTTGTCTGCCTGTGGCAGGCTCAGGTTCCTGATGGGATAGCCCAGCCATGAATACCAATTCTAAACTTGACAAAAGATTGGCATGTGTCTTTCTAACTTGTGAAACCTGTTCTCAGGACTATGAAACTAAATGCCTTGTTCATACACCCTGACTCCTGGGACACTATCAAAGGCTTTTGTTGTCGTGTGCTGATGTGCCTCTTTCAATCATACCCAATAGATTATTGTAAAAGGCACTACTGTTTTTTAGGCTGTGCCAATCTGCTTCAATTAGGAACCAGTTTTTACACTCATCTTTGATATAGGAATGTGCGTACAAGCCAATAAACTACAAGCTGTGAATAGGCTACAGCCTTCTCGAGACCAGATACTTTGGTAATTTGTCCCAACACTGATAAAGGGATTAGATGGATAAATTTCAGTGGCCCTCCCTGTAGGTACTAATCATTACAAGTCTGTCCATTTTATTTGATTTTTTTATTCCAATAAAGTAAACATTGAATTAGGACTAAAACTGTTTTTCATTGAATAAAAATATTATCATCCTGTTTACTTACACCATACTGTAGGAAAACATGGTCTCAAAAACATTGCTATTTCTTTTAAGATTTTTGTCAACACTTATTATTACATGAACATGGTTAATTATAGATACTTATTCCTTTATATGAATTACATCATTAAATGAAATATTTAGGAACATGGTTACCACTGGAGAAAAAAAAAAAAGAACCACATTTTAGTGTGTATTATCTGAGTTTAGAAAGCAACCATTTTAAATAAAAGACTTGGGTCAAATAGGATTAAAATTATTCTCACTATGTAGGCTAGTATTTAAAACTATAATTTCACATCAATGTAGGAAGAATGAGACTTCGATTTCCTCTTTTAGACAGGAAGTTTGCTGAAGTTTTAAAAACTGTAAACAAAATACATAACTTTGATGTGAAAAATGTGCTTAATGTATTTAATGAATTTTATTCTTAAAAGTACAATTACAAAAAGCCTGTATAGTGTTAAATTCCTTTTTTCCCCCAAATAATCCTTTTTCAATAAGGTTTAACTGCAAATATATTTTAGTAAGTTAATCACCATAAATAAGCTCCTTTTTTTTGATTCATCAACCCAGATGATGTCAAATGACACTATACACACACAATAGGAGAGTATATTGTCTTAAAATCATGTGCAGTCAATGGAAAAATACAACCATGTCTGTGTGCAATCCTATCTAAATCAGGAATACAGGATCAGGGAAATCAGACATAGTTCAGTACTTAATGCTTTTCCCTATTTAATATTGTTAACTGGTTCTATGCTCCATATGTATGTTTTCTGAAACATCCTCTGAAACGCTAAACCTTAATGATAAGGTGAGGCATACAATTAATGTTTTAGGTGCTCTGGTACCAATGTTGAGACATTGCTGAACCTAAACAGAAGGTGCTTATTCTTCTGTTGGAAATTAGCCTACTGGTACTACATTAGAATAGCTGTTCCTGGTCAGATGGAAGGTCTCCATATCTCTGACACTGGTCATTAGGAGACGCCAAAGAAGAATAAAAAAAAACAAGGAAAAAGATGTTAAGATTTCTCAGAATATTTTCATTATCTCTAGCAGTTTGTAATACAAGGACTTAAATCAGATGGTGTCCTTGTATTTAACAGTCCTCAATTTTTCTTCCACAGATAATTCCACTTTTCTTTGAACCTGTGGAACTGTTCAGACCAAACTACTAAACAAGGAGTGGAATATAAAAGCTCAAAATAAAAAATAACCTTTCTCTGTAGCAAAGAAATCTGATAGTTATGCTCATATGGATTTTTGTAAAACTGACTGATTTTTCAAGAAAGAAATTGTCGGTCCCACCCAAAGAGTATCTTGAGCCTTTGAGGGCACATCAATGCTTGCGTTTAGTACTACTGGTATACCATTATGACAGTGAAAAGAATTTCACTGAGATAGCTTCCCCTTTTTACAGGTGAGGGTTTTTTTTTTTAAACACACTAAGCACAGTTCTGTTATGTTATCTGTGTCCACACTGGAGTGCTTTTCTGGAGTAGCGTGTCAATACCATTTGGTAAGTATTCCCACATAGAGAGACAGTCTCAGTTTGAGAACTCCTAGGTGCTCTTATTTATTAAGTTAATGACAGTTTTTAGGAATAACCTAATTATGTGGAGAGACTGCTTTTTAAGTGACTGCATCAATGGACAACAACCAAGTATGATAATGGAACTGATAGCGTAAGCACTGTCATACTGATACAACATTATTTTGAAAAGCGCAGTATCAAAATGAGGGTTGCAGTCTCCACATATCATTTTCCATTGCCTAAGACTACTATGAGTAAGCTGAAGGATGATATTCTAACTCCTTTCAATTTCTAACAAGCACTGTATCAATTCATTTCATATAGCATATGGAACAGCCATAAAATGACAATGAGATTGGTTAAATTAAACTGCTAAGCTATAAAGTGAAATTATCTTTAAACATCATGCTACTTATGCTTAAGATCCTCATATTCATGGAGATCTGGTTTTAG